GAGAAGCCATATAGATGCATGGAAAGAATTTTTCTCAGAATGGTCATCTTCTCAGAAAAGGATCCACACTCGGGAGAAACTATAGCAATAGCAATTCCACTTAGACTTCTATACCACTCCACAGTGCTTTACCACACACTCTTGAGCAGTTTACAAAGTCAGTTTATTGTCCCCAGCAATCTGGATCCTTATTTATTATCCTCAGAAGGATGAAAGACTGAATCAACCATGAGCTGGTCAGGATCAAACTTCTGGCTGTGGGCAATTAGCCTGTAGTACTGCATTCTAACCATGTGTCTGTTGATTTGTGTGTATACATATTGTGCCTTTCTGACCCAAATGGGACAAGGTTGAATCCAACAAAACAAAACTTAATATGGAGAAAAGTAAGATTTTATACCTGGGCGGGAAAAACAGATTACATGAAACCTGCTGTCAGGGTTCCAATCGATGCCCTAATTAAATCATGAACCTCGAGACAAGCTTCAAAACAAATCTTTATTTATTAGAAGGTTCATGTTGGCACATTCCAAGTGAAGCCAATTCTGACCCCAAGTAATTTATGTTCCAGCTCTGACCCTGGCTCCCCCCTCCCCCCAAGGTTTGTCATCAGTCACATTCTCCAATGAAGCAATTTTGTCGGTTGTAGAGATCACTCCCCTTCAGCCACTGTGTGTAATCGTGGAGGTGGCCTTGATAGAGATATGCTGCAATATTATTCTGTTTTCACTGATATGGTACCTTGCCTCAACTGCAGTGTTCATTTTCCGTCCCCCTTGTCTATGGCAACTCGAGAGCAGGCCAGGGATGCTTTGTGAGTTGACACCTGGCTCAACAGCAGTAATTGTGAGAAGGCCCTTGGGAGTCTGAATGGATGATCACTTAAACATGAGTCACGTGTGTGCAGCAGCAGCCAAAATAGCTAATATAATCCTTGATTGTATAAACAGGAATAGAATCAAAATCATGTAAAGTATTAGTACCGTTTTATCAAGCTTTAGTAAATTCTTCTCATCCTTCCTATTACTCATCTCTTCCAACTTATGACTATAACCATGCTGCTTGTATGTTTACAATTTATATTTTATTTGTTCCCTAGTATGCTTGATTAGTAACCTATAACTGTCACTAAGTGTTGTATCTTGTGATTCTTAATGATTGTATTTTATTTTATGTACACTGAGAGCTTACGCTCCAAAGACAAATTCCTTGTGTGTCCAATCACACTTGGCCAATAAAGAATTCTATCCCATTGCAACAGGAGAGATTATCTGGAGCTTAGTTCAACTCTGGGGTCCTTGGGGGCTCCTGAGCTTGGTTGTTTCCTTGGAGACATTGAGTTACTCAACTAGGTCAGATAAATTGCCTCCATCCCTGAATTTTGAACCCTCGGCAGAAGGTGGAATGTGTGATTCTCCCCCCCCCCCCAAGAGGGAACTGCCATTTTCTGATGGTTCTGAGGGGAGGAAGGAGAAGCTACTTGTACCAGGTGGATGTCATGAATCACACAAAAAATCCAGTTGATCAAGATTAGGAGAGGAGGGAGAAGGAGAGGGAAATGGACAAACCTTGGGTTCAACTGAGGAAGATGGGATTTGTGGTCCTGGGGCAGACATTTGAAAGAAGATGTAGTCCACAGAAGAGAATATCTGGAGGTTGGGTTAAACTCTGGGGTTGTTGGGACCTTCGTTTGTTTGGAGAGCTTCATTACCCAGCTAGGTAACATCCTCAGTGCAAAAGACATGGGGGATTGGCTGCCTGTTTAGATGCCCTGCCAGAGATTGTGTGGTTCCCTCCTGGATGGTTTTTGCTTGGAGGATAGTTTTCTCTGCCGAGGAACTGGGTGTTCCGGCCAGACGGCTCCATCCCCAGAGGAGGAATCGGGGCTCTGAATTGAGGCGAGAGAGCGCTTTTATTTGACCTTGGAGGTGGGAGGGGCCAGAACGAGCAGCAGCACCAATGGGAATTCTCCCTGCATGAGCGTCATCGGTCTGCGGGCAGAGTCCTTTGTGACTTCA